TTGTATGAGAATGCATATTTGCGTGTTTATTTGCGTCTATATGCAATACGGTTCTTAAATCCGACTTGTCTCAAATTAGTCCCCTATCCAGTTTTAGAATCTAGACTTTGGGGGCCTGCTCAGTGAGATGGGAGTATACGTGGCACCAAAAGCTTGAGGCAGTGTGGGAAATAGCGCCTCGAGTAGCACAGATAGGATGGCAGTAGTCGAGTGAAATTGCTGAACCAGGAAAATAAGAGGCGGATCCTCTGGGGCAAGAGAGCGATTCTGATAGGATCTTGGGGAAGAGGATTGCGGCCTAATTCGGTAGACTCAGATCGACATTCCCAGCACAAGAGTGGAGGTTTGGTGTGAGAGAGCCAGCGTGGAGTGTAAGAGATCTCGTGAAATCCGCTCAATAGGCACACCCTGTCACATTAAACTAAGAAATTGTGATCGATAAGGGGTGATACGAGGATATAGGATTGGTTAACAGCCCAGAGCAGAAGAGATACCACGACCGTTTAGCAGATAACTGGTCAAAGGATCGACCTCACTTGACTCTTTGACGAGTTGCGGTGTGGTGCTAAGATTGGCAAGGCTAACTGACGACGCTGGCGAAACGTGTGTGAATGTACCACATCCACGGTCAGGCTCTGTTGTCTATCACGCATAATATGGGCGTTCCTCTAGGTCTTCCTACCAATATGGCCAAGTTGCGAAAACAAGTTCAAACAACCACTCTACAATGAAAGTAGAATAAAGGCTGGAAGATATGGTGATTCATTTCTATAATGTTCAGAAGTTGTACAAAGCCAATTGGTTGAATGCGTGCTCATGAAGAAGGTACACACGTCAGGATGGCCGGAGAAGTCTGAATGGGAACGAGACAATCAAGGTAGTTTGCTGAAGTTGTCGCCAACGTGGCAACGCCAATGGATAGGACGCTGCGGTAGCCTAACGCTGATTTGAAGTTGGCCTTGCGGCAAGTTGTGTTGCTTCTGCGGGGAACGTTGGATGAGCGCAGTGTTGCCTAAGCGGTGGACCGATCGAGTTATACTGTCACGACGCTCAATGGTAGGTCGGTAGGACCTGTCCCCTCGAAAAATAAGTGGCGCGAACGAAGGCCACATGTACAAATTAAGCCTGCTTAAAACACTTTCCTGATTTTAATACTGGCTTCTGATTGGTTCAAAGGGCCATGATCTGATACGCCCAGAGCTGGGCTCAAAGCCATTGCGAGAGTTGATTGGTCAATACGAACGA